CGCCCGCCGCCCCGTCCTGCCCGCCCCTTCCGCCGGCCCCTTCTTACCGCGGCGGCGCCCGCCCCTCCGCTCTGCCCCGCTGCCGAGCCCCCCTGCTCTGCTCTGCTCTGCCCTGCCCTGCTCTGCTCTGCTCTGCCCTAGGTGCCGCCCGCAGCCGCCGCAACCATGGCCCCCGCCGCAGGTAACCGCGGGGCACGGGACGGGACGGGGGGCACCGCTCCGCGCTCCGGAGTTAACTCCGCTCGCGAGTTCAGCCCTGGCCTCTTCTTACCAGTGCATGTGCGTTTGCTGTGCGCGTGGCCGCCGCGAGCCGCGCGCGGCCGAGTTGCGGCGTTTCGCCCCGCTGGAGCCGCCGCCGCGCTGCGGGAACGAGCCGCGCGCGCGGGCCGCGCGCCCGGAGCCCCCGCGCGTTTCCCGCCGCGGCGCGCGGGTGGCGGCCCCGCCGGGCGGCCGCGCACGGTCCCCGTGCCCGCGCCTCGAGCGCTTCCCCGTCCTCCCGCAGAGCTGAAACTTGGGAAAAAAGTTAACGAAGGGAAAACGAAAGAGGTGTACGAGTTGCCGGAGATCCCGGGATGCGTCCTGATGCAGTCGAAGGACCAGATAACGGCGGGAAATGCAGCCAGGAAAGACCGCATGGAAGGCAAGGCTGCGATTTCCAACACAACGACTAGCTGCGTGTTCCAGCTGCTCCAGGAAGCAGGTCAGTATTTTAAAGGGCAAATAGATAGCTGCATGTTGCAGAGATTCATAAGAAGCATTGCCTGGAGAGCCTTAAGGGTTTTTTTTTTATTATTTTATTTTCTTATTAGTGACTTTTTTTTTCTATTTGTTACTAATAAGCTGAGTGACTCAATCACTTAAAACCCCAGAGCATCTGAGGTGATCTTCCACCACAGATAACACGACTGCAGGTTGTCCTACACGGTTAGTCACACTCCTGCATTGCCTCTGCCCATGCTCATTTCAGTCCTTGCTTTTATTGGCTGTATTAACAGATTGTCTGCACGTCGCTTTTCTTATTACATCTATTCACTTAAAAGCCRCCGCTAGCTAGTGGTGCTATCAGGTGATACCTAAACTTCCAAAAATGAAGTCAGTCTCTTCACTTTAAGGAAAGCATTTTGAAGCGTCTTTTCCAGGAAAACAGTTAGYGTGCAAGTTGGGAAGAACTTGAACCAGTGGGTTCCCAGCTTGAGTCTGCACACAGGCCTGTAATGTAACAATAGACTTAAGACGGTGTTTGTAGCTGCGCTTAGCTCCTTATGATGCATTTGAGCAAACGCTGCTTCATGTAGAGTATCATGTTGAGCATGATGTTGAGTTGTCATGTTGAGCATCAGTTAAGTYGTATTATTATATGTATTATTGCACACAAAATATAGCAACAGATCTCAGAGGTGCAAAGACTGAAGTTCCAGCACACTTCATAGGTGGGGAAGAGAAATGTTTTCCCTAGAGTTTCCCACCTGTATTTCTATGCTAAAATAAGTGTTGAGATTAAGATAATTTGCCAGCCCATTTAGTGAGGAAGGAGGAAAACGTGATTAAGATATTAAGAATAATCCTCAAACAGTAGACTTTCCTAGAAAGCCTATTTTGCCTATAGCTACAAAGAAATGTCCCAAGATCTTTCCTGGATGTAATTATTTTTTTAACTTTTTTTTTTTTAGTGAATTTTTATATTGAAGCAATTAAGATGTTTTGCCTGATTTCATATGGCTTTATTTTTGTATGTAAGTTAAAATGACAATTATTTAAGATTTAAAATCTTAACAATGATARGCTAAGCTTTAGCCATCAGCTTAAAATGGCTCTTCCTGAGGTAACTTTTGGTGCAGTRGAAATTCCTATGCAGAATAAACTGCAGCTGCATTTTAAAACAACAGAAGGGCCTTTGGGTTTTTTTTCCCCCAGCTTGGTTAGCATAAATAGCAGATAACACTGATGCCCTATTGTCAAGTAGTTTGTTTGCTTTGCGAAACTTCTTAACCTTTTTTTTCCCTCCCAAAGGTGATGATTTACAAAGAGTTCTGTTAAAGTTTGTCTTGTTTGCAGTGGAGCTGATGTCAGCACTTCAAAAGCACACATCTGTGCTGATGAAAAATGCAGGAATAAACCAAATAGGGGGGTTGTTGACCTCTTGAGCAGCGCAGTTGCGTATGAAAATTCAGTGTTCATACTGTATTTTAAGTATTTTATTTGTTCTTCCTCTTTTATATCCCTGGAAGTAGAACGAAGTGTAGGTACTGCTTGAATTGCCCGGCTGCATCTCCTCTGGGCTCTGTCTCTGGGGCCTGGGGTGGAGGCTCTTTCCCCTTTCCCCCTTTCTCCCTTTCCTTCCTCCTCTGGAGTGGGAGGAAGGAAGATTCACGTTGGGCTTGGAGTGGCCCTGGGCCCGTGTTGGCCCTCACAGGGTTTGCTGTGGATCATCCTAGAGTCGTATAATACTGTTGCTTTCCTGCAGCAAGTTTCTGCACGCACATACACCCCCAAGTCTTAATGTCTTTTGTGAAGCAAGTCACTGGGATCCAATGGTCTAAATAAATGCTAGTTAGTAATAAAAGGAAAGGACCAATTTCTTTGCCTCCCACCTTTATAAACTAAGCAGCAAAGACTACTGTGCTCCTTGTGAGCAAACGAGACCTCTTAGTCTGGTTAAATTGAGTTACTTCAAAAAAAGGGTGTCTGACCGGAACATAAGTTTCTGGGCAGGTCTTGAACTGCTGGAGCTAATGAGCTGTGAAAGATAACAGCAGTGATGTCCTTTTACAAGATAAAAGAGCAGAAATCCCCTCTTCTCTCTGGAAGCCTTAAATGCCCTGAAGAAATTTCTGGTATTCCCTAAGTCCAAACAGGATCAGGATTTGATTTTGTTCTACCTGTATTTAGACAAAGGTGTTTCTGCCTTGCTTCAGCTGGGGAGTGTGCGCAGTAACAGAACTAAGTTGTCTCCTTTTACGTTTAGGGATTAAAACAGCTTTTGTAAGAAAACACAGTGACACAGCATTTGTAGCAGCCCACTGTGAAATGATCCCAATTGAATGGGTGTGCAGGAGAATCGCTACGGGCTCCTTCCTCAAAAGAAACCCTGGTGTCAAAGAAGGATATAAGTTTTATCCACCCAAAATCGAGATGTTTTATAAGGTAAGTTCCCTTTCCTATGACAATAAACAGAGCCAGATCTCTTCATCTCTGAAAAAATACAAGTAAAGCAGTGGCACCGGTGATGGACATCCTCTTGGGTGGTAGTTTAGCCACCCTAACCCTTTCTTGTAGTCTCTTCCCAACAGCTCTATCTTTGAACATGTGTACGCCGTGATGCTGGCACAYGGGGCCACCAAAGAACTACAGGCAGATTTGTCATCATATCAGACYTCATGTTCAGAAAGTACATGACTGATTATCAGAGAAGTAATACTTCATTTTTAAAGCATAGAAATATTCTCAAAGTGGACATGCTCGTGTATTTGAAGAATTTAAAAGTACTTGCAAGCTGACCCTAAGTGGATAGCTAAACCTAGAAGAAACTCTGTGCTTCAGAAAGGTGCACCAAAAGAAGTGTCTTGTGAACTATAATCTGACTGTTTTTGTAGTGTAGTGGATTTTGTCACTCTGGATGCAYTATTCAAACCTAAGAAGAGTGTTAAAAGTTGTTCATGAGTTCATGAGTTACAGGAAGTGTTTCAATGTTGTTACTAAGCTCCTTTAGTTGGGAAATACCAGCTTGAAGCCTATACCTGTAGGCTGCTTCTTGTAACTGAATGTTGTCTTCTAATGCTTATTTCTTCCCCTTATACTCCCTTCTTCCCCTTGTATTCCCCTTCCTTAAACTATCTGCAATTCTCGACAGGATGATGCCAATAATGACCCACAGTGGTCTGAGGAGCAGCTCATAGAGGCCAAGTTCTGTTTTGCTGGACTTACTATTGGACAGACAGAAGTGGATATTATGGCACGTTCGACCCAAGCTATTTTTGAGATCCTGGAGAAGTCATGGCAGCCCCAAAACTGCACTCTGGTAGACTTGAAGGTAGGAGGAAAATAGGATTCCTCGTGATGTTGGATCTGATGGGACACATCTGTCACTGTACAGTTCCTAAAATACTTTTCTCTTTTAGATTGAATTTGGTGTTAATATTCTAACAAAAGAAATCGTTCTTGCTGATGTCATTGATAATGATTCATGGAGGCTGTGGCCAGCAGGAGACAGAAGCCAGCAAAAGGACAAACAGGTAGTGTTTTCAATCCTCTGCATTGGTTGGAAAGAAGAAAAAAGTAAGCCTCACAGTCAAGCATCTGCTCTCTTGTAGCTCGTAAAGCACTGAGTATCCAATCCTGTTCTCATGATATATTTGGGAAATCTCAACGGTTTCTTTAGCAGAGATAATCCTGTGCCTATAAACACTTTTGAGGTGCTACTGCTGTGGAGCTTCTGTGACCATCCCTGAGCCTAAGAACAGAGACCCTATGAGAGAAAGTGGCTGTAAGCCCTAAGGGAAAGTGAAGAGAGCTGCTGTGATTATTAAATTAGGGAGCAGTACTGCTCTATTGTTTGCTTTATTGCATTTACTGAATTGCATTGTAGCATGCTTGAGCCATGCCGTGCTCATCTCCCTAAAATAAAGTGAATCACTGGGTCATGCAGAATCTAGGTCAGCTGGTGCAGTGCTACTGCAGGCAAYAAGGTCATTATAAAGGCCAGTGTTGAGGCAGCTGAATGGGTTTCCTTAAGTCTGTCTTTCAGGAACAGTCAAAACCTTGCAGCACCAGTGGCTAGAAGCCTTCTGCATTACCAATGGCCCTATAGCATAGCCATACTGCAGAAAGTTGCATGCACCTGCTGAGAGCTTTCTCACTAAAGAATTTTTGTTTCTTGTAATCCCTTCCTCTTTTCAGCCCTTTCCTTTGTTATGATAAAAACTAGTCTGGTCACGCTTCCCCTTCTGGGAAGAAAATAGCTCATCCAGAGGCTCATTCCTTGTGATACCTGTGTATCACAGCTCTCCTTCCTGAGGAATTACTGAAAACTGCATAAACATTCCAGTTGGGGCTTCTCTGCCCATTATAATAGCAGAATGAGTGCTTTGTATACCTAAGGAAAAATATTAACAATAATTAACATTAATTATTTAATTCTGCTGTTGTTCCTATTCAGTCTTACCGGGACCTTAAAGAAGTTACTCCTGAAGCACTGCAAATGGTTAAGAGAAACTTTGAATGGGTTGCAGAAAGAGTAGAGGTATTTATGTGTATGAACAAACTATCTGGAGTTTGGTAATTGTGTGTGCTGGAGCCCTGCTGACTGCTTTTCTTTGCCCCCTGCCCCCTTAACTCTTTCACCCAGCTGCTTCTGAAAACGAAGAGCCAAGGGAGGGTTGTGGTGCTGATGGGATCTCCTTCCGACCTCAGTCACTGTGAAAAGATCAAAAAGGCCTGTGCCACCTTTGGGATCCCTTGTGAGTTAAGAGTGACTTCTGCTCACAAAGGGCCAGATGAAACTCTGAGGATCAAAGCAGAATATGAAGGTAAATCCCCAAATAATAATAGTAATAAAAAAGAATCTCTGCTTTTATCCCAGCAATTGAGCCCTCCCTTCCTGCCTCTCCTAAGCCGTTATTCCAGAATCTTGTCACTGATTTTGCTGTTTCTGAAACAGGGAAGAGTGGCAATTTCTCAAACTGTCTCTAAATACTCCTCTTGAGAGATGCTACTGAAATTGTCATCAATTTTTTTTTTATGCTTAGATGCTGCTCTTTCGATTTCACGAGAAAGACATTAGCTAAAAATCATATTTATATCGGGAAGAGAGAAGAAATAACTGTTTGTTTTTGTAGAAATATACTTTTACAGAGAAGAACTGGCAGATGGGGTTAAAGAGGCAGTTAGTGAAATGACAGATGTGGTAGACAGCCTAAATACACTTATTTTAGAGGTGAGTTGCTCGGAGCTCATACTTTATCTCTGACACTTTGAAAAGTTATTTAAAACCTGTAAARTTAAACAGCATTTGGACACCAAGACTTTCCCCTCAAATGCGAGTAAGAAATGCCAACTTGCTAATTTTGATAAACACGACTAGGATTTTAAGCTGTAACACTGACTTTTCTGCAAAGGGGAAAGTTAGAAATGAAATTCTCCAGTACACTATGCAATTTACTTCAATAATTGCAACCAGAAGAGCAGGTGCCTAGGCAGAGTTCTCCCAAAAGCACGTGGGAAAGGTGTGTTGCTGACCTTGGTGTGCTCCTGCTTTCCAGGAGATGGAGTCCCCACGGTGTTCGTTGCGGTGGCCGGCAGAAGCAATGGTCTGGGGCCGGTGATGTCTGGCAACACTGCCTACCCCGTGCTCAACTGCCCTCCGCTCTCGGCCGACTGGGGGGCTCAGGACGTGTGGTCTTCCCTCCGGCTACCCAGCGGTAAGATGATCTTTAGCAWACACCCTGGTACTGACCTAGCTCCGTTCCTGTTGTAGATACCCCCACATRTGTGGACAAAACCACACATGGCAGCACTAGCTGGATCAGTACTGAGAAACAAGTTACAGAAATGTCTTGCGTACACTCCTTTGTGCTTTTGTAGTCAGGAAGCTAATGGAGAAGAGATGACATGTTCAGATCACACACAGTACTACTTAATAAGCTGTAATCCTTTGCTTATCCTTGCTAAACACCCCRTTTGTGAATCTGGAGATGCTATTAATGAAGCAGCCCTGGTAGRAGTGAAATAGCAGGCATGTGCCCCCATGGCAGCTATAGCTGCCCCCATGGCAGCTATATAGACAGTATAAAAACAGCCTAGTTACCCGACTCAGTCACACAGCCCTCGTGGGGTTTATACACGTGCTGTTGAGAAGTGGCTTTTTGTGACTATAAAAGGTGTTTTTACTAAGTGGCAGTTGTCCTTCTTTGCAGGTCTTGGCTGTGCTACTACTCTGTCACCTGAAGGAGCTGCTCAGTTCGCTGCCCAAGTATTTGGGTTAAATAACCACTTGGTGTGGGCAAAACTGCGATCAAGCATGTTAAATACATGGATCTCCCTGAAGCAGGCAGACAAAAAGCTGAGAGAGTGCACCCTGTAAGTCAAGCTAATAAATAACGACTTGCGTGGTGAGGGCGTGCACATCTGCATTAGGATTTATACTTGGGTGAGATGAAAAATACCTTTTCTTGTAGAAGGAAGTATTATTAGAACAGCTAAGTTTGCATCTTCATCCTTCTTTATTTTTTTAATATACCATAGTGAAAGACGAGGGAGTAGTGTTTTCTTTCTGTTGCTCCAGACTGGTGCTGCTCTGCCTTTTAATGTATAGTTACCTATGGTCTCTGTTTAATGTCAAGATAATGATTTGGTGTAATCTAAATAGAATTTCACTTGTTTTTAGTAACAGTTCTACTCTACTGTAGTAATAATGTAAGTCTAAACATATTGACTGCTAACGAAAACCAGTGTTGATGCTGTCTTGCTTGCAATGATGGTATGCTTTCTTTAGCAATAATCTGGTACCATACACTATACCACTAGGAAAATAAGCTGGAAAAAAATGTGGAATGACTGAAACACCTGCCTTAAAACCTATCACTGTTTTCTGGAACGATGTGTTAAAAGTTCATGCCAGTTTTCTTGTTTGTGACAGGCCACAAACCTAAATTATCTTGATTCAGACTAGGTTTATTGCCCAGCTGYTCTAACTAGTTAAGCCTCTTATAAATATAAGGCAGATCTCTTTTTCTAGCTCTGAAAGACCTATGCTATTGTTAAATTGCCTTCATTTCACTGAATTCTAACTGTTATGTATCTGTATTTCCTCATTCTTTATTTCTATGGAGATTTTATTGAAGGTGGGAATAAATAGTAAAGCAGCAACATAGTGGGGAAATGTCGGCATGCCTGCCTTGGTGTCTTYGCACACACAGCTCTTCTGTTACCTGGTACTGATTTAACAAATGGGRCAGTTACTCCCTGTATGTAACCTGTGCTTTTACAGCTATAAATAAACTACTGTATTTAACACTTCTTATGGAGACTCATTGAACAAGTACCTATAATATTCCTGATGCTTAGTTTGTATTTCATGTTATTACATATACAGTCTTATACATATTATAATACAGTCTTATACATATTATATGGATATATTTATTATACATATTACAGTCTTTTAAGTTAGGCTCAGACTCTTGTAGAAAGCTTACCTGAACTAAGATTACATAGAATGGTTCTAAGTAACACTATCTTCTAGAAGATGCTCTAGTAGATTAGTTCTGTCAGAAAAAGCTCTGTTACTTCCTTCATAAAAGAGTATCTTATTGTTTGTGGGGTGAGTCAGGTTGACCTCCGAGGGAGACTAACTGGACTAAATACTGCTCCTGGCTTCCTTGCTTATGATCACTGTCTGTATCACTGGATGTGGAGTTGTATAGCAGACTTCTGAACAAAGCCTTTTTAAGGCTTTGTTAGACACTTTTAAATGTGTCTAACCTTATAGTGAGGCAATGTGATTAGAACTTTCTACCTTTGAGAGGTTTTTGCCCCCCCCCCTTTTTTTTTAAACTGAGCACCTCTTTTGTGTCTTCTTGCTGAAACATAGGCCTGCTCTGAGCAAGAACAGCTTACTGCCCTGCCCTGTACCCATGCTGTGCAACACTCCCAGCACCACCAAGCTAAACGAAGGATTTAAGACAAGAGAAAGCTCCCTGGAAGGTCCTGCCCGTGCTGTGGCAATGCTTAAATGTCTGGAGCGAAGCTCCAGTGAGAGCACCTCAGCTWCCAGTAATGAGAATATAGTGCAGGTTACCTGTTTGTCAACAGCTAAGCTTTAGGTGAGAATGCTTTATGTTTATGAAGCCAAGAATCCTGCTTAAATAAGAGGCTGATGATAAATATAACATTTTAAAAGAAACTTTAGAAGTTTAGCACCAGCTGTGCTAGTGTGGGGTTCCTGAGGCAGGAGCTATCCTGCCTAATGCTATAACATTGTAAATCCTTTAGAACAAAGAAGCCGAAATCAATGTTTCTGTGAAAGCAGTGACTTTGAAAGATTTCAGTGTTTGCAGCTAGCAGGTCGCCACTGTTTCACTAACCCCATCAGCTAAATCCACTAGGAAATATGCTCATCGGGAGCCAGTTCTGTTAACCACGTACTGCTATGTGCCTGTAAGCACTAAGAAATGAAATGCAGAAATAAGTGATCTTGTGCTCTTTCTTAGGTGAGTTGGATCAGACTGTAATCTGAGGAGTGGTAGAGCCAGCCCCTGCCGAGGCCAGGGGCACCCCGGCTCAGCTCCTCACACACCTACCTGAGGGTGAGGTTACACACGAGGGAGGTGTCGCTTCCCCTCAGCCAGTTCCTCCCTGGCACAACTGCAGGGAGGTGTCTGTGGGAGCTGATCAACGCGACAGGAGCTTCCTGGTGCCTTTGCCCCTGGAGCACCACCGGGATGCTGACAACTCCAGGCAGCCCTTCACTTTGGGGCTTTACCGCTCACTGCGCTTTGCTCTGTCACCATCTCTTCGCAATTKCATCTAAAGTTGCTAACAGACAATAGTGTCTGTTATAGGTGTTAGGGCCTGCAGGCTCTAGCCACCTTTCTCAAGGTACTTGCAGCTTGTCCCAGTTTGCAGGCGATGGGAGATGCTCGGGCACGAGCATCATTGCTGCTTCACCTGCCGGGGCTTCCAAGGCAGCGCTCCAGCTGGCAGTGGTCTTCTTCACAGTCTGTCGAGACAAAACTACTGTTAACCTCCAAGCCAAGTCTCACAAAGAATGGGAATGCTAGGACTGGAACACGCATTGCTAATGTCCAGTGCCATGAGCAGCAACAACACCCCTACAACCCTGCAAATCTGTTGTAGTTGCAAGAACTTGATAAAATGGCCCTCAAGGCACCATTGATGCAGAGCAGCTGTTTTGCTGCGTTTAACTGGAAGATATTTTCCCCATATTTTTTGCTGTGAAAGCAAAGTGCTGCTTCTCAGATCAGCACTCCATTTACAATCCTGAAGCAACAACCAAGCCTTTCTTAAGCCAGGAATCACTTGTGTGGCATTTTCTTTTTTTCCTTCCAATTCTAAAAATTGTCTCTCTGTCTTCAATATGTGCTTTCATGTTCACAAAAACTAGGATATAGAGGGGTTAAATAAGGACTTAGGAGAGGATATCATTTAGTATTTAATTACCATTTAATTACCAGGCAGTCCTTGTTTTTGAAGTTTTTGTCAAAACAGAACATGAAGCTCTTTTCCCACTAGAGGGGGCATTTGAACCTTTCCTCACAGCCATGATTGTTTTAATACTACAGTTCAGCTGCATGTTCAGTGGAATAGAGTAAAGTCTTTATCTAGTTTTTAAAATAAGATCAGAATTGCTTATTTCTTCTGACTGCAGCAGGGTGACTGGAGCCCTCTTCAGAGCCCATCTGCCCATTCAGACTTCCCCAGATTTCCCCAGAACAATGAAAAGCTTAAATTTCTGGATTAAAAAATGAGGTATAAAAAAAAAAATTTTTGATCAAAACACATTTGTAGCACAAAAGGAGACATTTAAAATTTCCCACAGAGTTTAAGTATCTGTAGATTTCAATTGTGGCAAAAATCCCTATTTAATCATCATAATTTCAAGCTTAGGCAGTTGCATCCGGAACTCAGACTCTCAGAATCCTTGTGCAATTGCTACTTGAGATGAGAAAGACTGAACCCCGCTAAGGTTTGTATTTTTGGCAATAAAAATCCTTCCCGCTTAAGGCACTGCTGTTGTGCTTATACAGAAACCACTTAGCTCTTGACAGACAAAATACCTAAGCTTCTTATTCACCTAAGCCTCATCAGACCACACAGACTTAGGCACATTCCCAAACAAGGCCATTCACTCAAAATCATTATGAAAGAGAAAGACCATGTAGGTTAGAACAGTAATCCAAGGAGAAAGGGCAAAACCCAACCTTCTGTCTCGCTTCCTCAAGCCTTTGTCCACCACTGGTAGGTGGAGAAAAGATCCCAATTTCCCCTTTTGGTGCTGTTTCAATTTATTCCCTGACTGCAAGCACAATCAGACCACAACGACACATCCAAATCTACTGCACAGATTTTAAAAAGAAGAGTGTAACAAACAGTTTTGGGAGTTTGGTGAAGCACTCAATTCCTTGAAGTAGGCCCCTGTGAGTGTCTGAAGTGCAAAGAGAGACCTGGAGAAGCAGAAGCTACCTRGTTTCCAATAGAAAGTAAAGCCCAAACTTCCTGAAGGGGGAATCAGGAGGTATTTGCATGAACTCCTAACAGAAGTCATGGTCCAGGAAGATTCACTTGTAACAGCTTTTCCCGCCCTCCTGACAGACACCCTCCCTGTGCTGATAACGTTGTGGGGAAAAGGCAGATCAGCACAAGAGCTGTTAAAAGCTCAGCAGATACTTGAGAAGATCAAGCATCAAGTTGAACTCTTTTCCAACAGAGCATTTTACAGGAAGAAATAAGTTCTCTTCTACAGGAATTAAAAACATTCAAATGCCCAATTTTAATCTAGCAGAAGGCAATAGGTTAGAGATGCCATCAAGTGGCAGGGGGCAGAGGAGAAGAGCATCCTTCATACAAGACGACCAGGCACAGGCAGAGTGCATTTGGACATCTGAGTGGCTAAAGAATCCAAAGGAGAGTGAGGGTTAAAGAATCAAAAGGAGAGCAGAACCTGCAGAGCACAGATGGTCTGTGCTCTTGATCATGCAGTTGGATTCAACCGCCATGGAAGGAGCTGCCACGTCCCCAGGGAGGAGCCCTGCAGCTGCAGCCCTCCCAGGATAACTAGCAAAGCTCATCTGCCTCTCTCAGTAGGAAACTTCACAAATGGGATCTTATCCAGCTGTCAACTGAAACAAAGCTCGTTTGTGTCTCACACCATTGACAATACTTTGCACAGCCCTTAGCATTTCATCTTCTTCCTCAAGCCAGTTGTGTGAAATGGTTAYTACAGCTATATTGGTGTACAGCTCAACGGGGCAAAAGAATGAAGCATATTCTAACTAGACAGGACTGTTTCATAAGCAGTGTCCAAACACGTTAGTCAAACATACATAGCATTATCCATATCCAACCATTATCCAGTGGARCATATCCACTTCCTGGGGATATGAAACTGTAAAGTACATATCAAAAAAGCATCCCACAATTCAAAATGCTATGTACAARGTAGTTTAGTTTATGTCTTCCAGAGATGTAACAAAATATCCGAGCCAAAATTCAGTACCATTGACTGACTGTTCTGTCCCGTTCCAGCTGCATAGAGTGATAAAGTCTTGCCCACAAATCCAACACCWGGAGATTCCCAGCTCAAGCTCTTCCCTCCCCACTCAGTTTCTTATCATTCCCAAGTGCAACTCCAATGATCATTTGTGTGGACTAATTATTGACAGTAGCAGTCATACTGCAGTAAGTAATAACCACAGAATCTTTATTGGTCTTAAGGCAAATTCAATTCTGCAGGCAGAATTTCTCTATTCACGGAACCATCCTAACCCCTTCCTTATCTGTGCTTATAGTTACTGAGTTTTTATTAAAAAAAGATAAAATAAAATAAAAACCTTCAAGCAGACTAGGGTATACTCTAATCCAAAATTAAAGCTTTTGCCAAGGAAACCACCTACCACAACATTAGCTGGATATCACAAGCCTGGCTATAGGGATATCGCAACTGCCCTTTCCTTGCTAAGGAAAAACAAAATCCTGCCATTTTAATCATTTAAGATCATTTTGATCATGTCACTGTGATCATCTTAAATAAGACAAAGTTTCTTATTTTGTTAACATGTTGGACCAGAAAAACAGAGCATCTCCCCTCTTTTCCCTCCCATGAGGTTAAAACTTCCCAAACACTAACCCAGGACTTTACTCAGCCCTTAAATAGTAAGGGGGAGATTTACCCTGGATAAAAAAATAGCTCTAAAAACAATCCAACAGGTTTTAAAGTCGCCTATAATATCTCAAGCCTCAAACTGCAGAGAAGCTCAAGTCAGAGATGTGCTTATCAAGCCTGGGAAATACTTCACTGTTCTGCAAGGACAGTTTCCCACAGCAGTTTTGTGAAATACAAACACGTTGCCTCAAACCACCGGAATTTAAAAAAAAAGGAGAAACAAAAACAGGCCCTAAGCAACAAATGTGTGTGGCCAATTACCCACCAGAGACACCTGCTATAGTCTGTAGCGGGTTGTGTCCACAGCGCTGAGATCAGGAAGCGCCCACAGCCTTCAYCTAGGTAAAGCAGCTGCTTCTGGCTTCGAGTAAGACTCCAAAACAGGAGCACATGGGAAATGAAAGTTACTTTTAGTTCCCGTTAAAGTTAAAATTATTACAAAGTTTTAGCTTTTATTGAAAATTAAATATATTAGCAAAAGCAAGATTTAAGAAATACTTTACAAATGATTTACATAGAAGAAAGCCAGTATCAGACATATTCACAAATATGCAAACTTTTTAATTACAAAAAGTACCTACTGGCAGCATGATGCTAACCTTGCCACTGCAGTGTGCTCTACTATTGATATGAATAAGGCATAGAACTCACATTTGCACCAACTTAAAAAGTCCAAAGAAAACTTTAAGCTTTTAAATCCTGGATGCACAATCCCCAATTTRCACACACACACTCTCTAAAGTTTTTCCTTAAAGGCTCTAATAAACTAAGTGTGTGCTCTGGAAGAACAGCCCCCTTGAAAAGCCCAGTAAAAATGTAACTGGAACCGAGGTTTAGTTTTCAGTTTCCATTTTAACATATACAGATCTAAGTATGTAAACCATATTCACAGCTTAAGTATTTTTAGACAGAAGTACCTTTTTTTTTTTTTTTTGCATCTGTTCCTTACAATTGGCTCTCAGTTCAGCACACGTTTTAAAGTGTCACCTGCTTTGTGAGAACATACATTTACAAGATAACTTAAAAAAAGATCCTTGCCATCTTCATGGTCAGTACAATTCAACATGAGCAGTAATATCCAACAGTGACATTCAATACCATGTTTCAATTGTGCAAATAGCAACAGAACAACTGTATGAGGCAAAATTATTTGCAAGACCTTTAATACCTCTTCAGTGTTGTAAACTTGGACTGTCAGCCTTAAGTCCTGCACTTCCCACAGCTTTAAGAAGTCAGTGGCTAAAATTATCAAGTCTCAAAATGTTTTCTTCTACATAGTGCAAATTGTAACGTAGATAATGTGAAAAACGTATCTGGCTGGATTGACTCTGTGCAATTCTCAGTGGTCTCCTCTCGTAGTTGAAGTGCATTCAAGGAACCAAGTGGTTCAGGAAGTTGAGCGCAAGGGAAAAGCAGATCCATGTTGCGCTCCTCAAACCAGCGCTAGATGTGCAAAGGCAGCAAAAATTCCAACTGCTACTACAGCCAGAAGAAAAGAACTTCTCAGGAAGACCTGGGCGGTTAGTCATTTGGACTGGTCTCTAGAAAAATACGTGAGTATATGCTGGAGTTTTATCAGCCGGTCTTTTAAAGACATCATAGAGAGAACTGAGAGTTGGTATCTGGGGTCTACTGGGAGAACTGCTAGAAGCCACCAACACCAGGCAGGACCATTGGGCATTGCCTAAAAATAAAGGATAAGGTAGTTATTCATAACTGGTGCAGTACAGTTAAGATAAGGTTATCAAAAGACAAAATTGTCCAAGAAATAAAGGTTTAAGTTGGATAGCAGCTAGAGAATCCAGGATCTATTGGTGTCATGGTGCTCGAGGCTTGAATACTGAAACCTGACATTTTCTTGACAAAGGCTTTCATGGGATCCTTTTTAATTGGGGCTCCTTATATGATATCCTTTTCCAGGCTCCACTCTCAACTTTATCCATCCTCACTAACTGCTTACAATAGCCTTTCCTGATTCACTACAACCAGCTCCTTAAGCTTAAGGCAAATAATTGTCAAATTCTAACAGCTGCAGCAGCTTATGGAACTAGTCTGCAAGGGAGAAAGAGACTGTCATTTGTATCACCTCTTTGCCATAGATTACTGCCTACATGTATTATATGGGAGAAAATACTTCAGCTTTTTCCATTTCTATGCTGATGGCTTTACACAAACCAACAGTTTAAAATGCTCCCGATATTCAAACTTAGCTCAAAGCAGCTAGTTTGCTCTCTTTATCTACCAAGAGTAACATCTTTGCCTGCAGAAACTTGAACACTAACAATTGCATTTGTTGCTCCTCCTAAGATGGCTTGAGCAGAAACATCACGTAGCCCTACTTGCTCCTAGGAGAAGGAGAACTATTTTTAAGCAGTTAACAGGATCTTTATTTTCAGAACTAAGCAAATCATAACTGATATTTAATGATGTCTCACCTCTATATTTTCTTCCCTACCAGGCATTGGCCCAAAGTGTTGAAGAATTTGAGTGCGGAATTTGTTTCTTAAGTTTTGGAACCAACTACAAGCCTGATTGTAAACAAAATTGTGAAGTTCTCTCAGTTTCTTCAGCTCTTCTTCATTAGCAACCTAAAGGAGGATTGTTAATAATACATTATTGATAAAGAACTAATTACTAAAATGTTTAAGCTAAAAAACAAGCAAAAACCTCCACACCACGTTTCATTTCAACTGTTAACATAAGAATTTCCCACATTCTTCTTCAACTTGATTGCAAATGAAAGAATCCCTATGATATTAACAAAAGTGTCACTTTAAACCTGAAGGTATTTGCATTAAGTAGGAAGAACACAATAACAAAACCCAAAAACCTAAACACATAAGCAGTTTCTGCTTTACTTAAACATATAAAAATATCAAGAAGTTCTAATGTGAGCTCCATTGCTTTGAAACTCAATAARTAAATGCCAAACAACCTCCCTGCCAATATTCCAAGTACAAAGTCACTCCTAATAGGATCCAAACTGTCTTCTTTCTGACATCACCAAAATATTTTCTCTAATATATAAAATTAGCTATATCCAAGTACTTACAGCTTCACAAACTACTGTTCAAATAGTTTGACCTCTTTAAACAAAGAGAATGAAAAAAGCATTGTATTTTATTATTTTATAATAATATTTTCATTTTTTCCAGATGGTAGGACCCCTGTCTTTCAGCGGTCTATCCATCTGAAACAGATTCCTCAAGAACATACCAGGCATAAATCTTTAGATGTTAACTAATACTAGGTAAGTATTTGGAAAGCATTCTGTATACCTTAACATCTTCCAAATATTCAATGTCTGCAGTGCAATAACCATCTTTCATCCCTCTTTGTAAAACTCTAAATCTCTTTCCACCAACTGTATCAACAACAGACCGTCCATCAGGTAGAAAATGAACATTCCGAATTTGCAGCATACATCCGTAATCTGCAAAACTAGAAAAGAGACCGCGTCAGTAACACAAATATACATTCCACTGAGGATAACATTTTTCTTAAAAATTAAAAGAAACAGAACAGAGCAGAAGCATGGTATGACGATGCAAACCTACCCATTCTGAGAATCACTAATGCACATGCCAAACTGCTTAGTTCCAGTTTCCATACTCCTGCGAATCATCAGTCGGTATCGTGGCTCAAACACATGGAGAGGGCAAGGCACAGTAGGATATGCCATAGTGCAAACAAACATGGGAACATTCTTGGTCAAGCTTCAATGAACAAAAAGAAAAATAGGTGGCTTAAAATCCAGTGAACTACATACCAAGACAGCACGTTTTTATTATGTTTATTAAGCCTGACGTAACGAATTATCTGCACCAAAGGGTAGAAATAAATTACACCAAGTTTCATAAACAATAAAAAGCCATATTGCAAACAGTGGCAGTGAACACCTGTGTACTGATTTGAATACATAATGCATAATACTCTAATAACGAGGAGTTATCTAGTCAGTGAATGACTGCATGGGCTTTTGGTTTTGTTTTCATTTGTCACACACAAACCATTATGCTCTCAGGTGCACAAACTTCCTAAAATTAGAAAGCAGTAGTGACAACATTGTTACTAAGCCATCACTTTTATTATTTTCAAGGATGGACTCTGGGTCAGGAGATGAAAGCCAGGGTATGATATTTACTCTGCAAGTGTTTCAAGTAGGGCCAATTAATTGAAAAACAAAATGGATTTTCTTCAGGCTTTTCATTAAGCATGCACAGTCTGCAGCAGCAGATCCCATACCAACAAGTTAGTATTAAAACATTACCAAGTATTTAATTTGCTGCCTTTCAAGCTATAAAAAGTTTGTTTTAATGTATGAATCTGCCATGTAATTTGCACGTGCTGCAGCTTTAAACAGTTTTCCAGCACTCACACCTAATGTGTTATATATCTAGAGAGATCTATGAGGGATAAATATTAGAAAATTTTAAAAAGCTGGATTTCTCTTCATCAAACCTTCCCTTATAAAAGTAATGCCTCTCCCGAATTGTTTTGAAAGAAATTAAAATATGAGAGACTGCAGCTCATTCAAGAGGGCACTTCCAGAAACAGCAGCAAAGCTAAAGCCCTGTGGAAGTGCCCACACAAAGAGAAAAGAAAGGGCACAGACATTTTATAGAGGACTCTTATGGCCTCACACTGCTACTAACAAAACAGGATTTATTATTTCAGAACTAATAAAAAATATTGCTCATTTTCCAAAACGCATTTCTAAGACAACAATATAGGTGTTTACATGCCTTCCGAAATCTATAATGTGCTATTATTAATAACCACAACAATGATAAAACATTTCTAAAAATGATTTCCATACTGATCTCTCAAGCTTTCCAGACAAAGACAGCAAGCTTACTTTGAGTGTTCAGCAGTTTCTTCCTCATGAATTCTTTTTCTCTCATATAACTCATCAGACAGATATTTTGTTATTAATTCTTCTAGCAGTTCTGTGATACAGTATCTCCTGCTTGCCAAGTACTGGAAACAATGTTTTAAAAAGTATTAGTATTTCTTTCATAGTAACACAAAACTTTAGAAAAACGTAGCTTTTAACTAAAACAGTGGTACAAGAAATATGCTCTAAGGCCAGTTTTAAACTCACGAGAAGCTACAGCTTTGAATCTCTCACATTTCACTGATTAATGGATTATATTGCTCCAATATTTGAAAGTTTTCTCTTTTAGTTCTTAAGAGTCTGACAAGTCCTGTATCTAATTTTCTTTTTTTTTTTTTTTCTCTAACAAGCATAGTAATACAAATGACTTGACAGATTATATATCCATACAGAGAAAAAAAAGGAAAAAAAAAAAAAAGGAAAGTTTACAAAAATTACCATCTTAACAGGTAATTTTGCAAACACTTAAAATTTGGTGACACCAACAAAGTAGACGATCCGTGAAACACAAAACCTTTAAGGTCCTAAGGCAAACCCGTTCAGCTCGTTTTGACAAAGTCTCCCTCATTTTTTCCCCCTTTCAGTAGTAATGCATAACTCTATTGAATCCAAGATGTTGGTTTTAAGTGAAGCAGCCAACAAGATGCTTGTCTTAGGAAGTTCCCCTGAGAAACAAACAGTACCTCCTTCAAACTCTCCTTGCAGAGGGGACACTGCGGAGCATGGTCTAGACACCGTTCCAGGCAGCCTTTGCAAAAGGTATGTCCACAAGGGGTTGTCACGGGCTCAAAGAACAGCCTGAGACAAAATTATTAAAAAATACACATGAATGCAATTAAAACATGACAAGGTTGCATTTGGCCAAAAGTCACTGATAACTTCATTAAATCTGAGGAAGATTTAATAAGAAATTGCATGAGAAAGCAGAGAAAAATAATCCTGTGTCTCTTCAGGTTTTTCCCTCTGCTACTGCTTGCTTCCCTTTAACACTGCACTCCTGATTTTCGTGCTTTCTAATCCATCTGAACATATTTCAGCATTCAAAATATTCAATCATTTATCCCAATATATAAAGTTTTTGATCCTGTTGCATTCAGAATACATAAGGTCAAGTGATTCTTTAAGCTATATTGTTGCAATAGTAATAAATGTACCACTTCCAAAATTACATCCAATTTAACACAGATGGAGTATTTTAAAACATCTGTTCTGCAAACAAGGACAGCTCAATAAGAGCTTTCAAATTCTTCAGCTACATTTAGGTAGACTGACATTTTGAAATATCTACATTTCCTAGACAGCTCACAGAATCAGAGACCATTTATCTAAGCATTAGCCTTCCTAAAATAAAAAATGTTAAGTAGTGTTTTAGCAACTGAAACAAGACAAATATTTAACTGCAAGACGCTGTTGCCAGTTAACGCTACCAGATAAAACTTCGAAGGCAACTTGATTAAAATAATGCTGCATTATACAACACTACAGCAAGAGACACTTTAAATAAGCGTTTAACTCTTGGGATGGAGAAAGGCTGAAAATTATTCTTAATTGACATTAGGACTCATGGCAACACATAAATGCCTCTGTTTACATATGTAAAAGATATGTAGCCAAACATCTATGGTTAAAATACTGAATCAAAGAAAACATATTACCTCATGCACAAAGAGCACTCAAAATCTGACACGTCAATCAAATTCCCTGGAACTGTTCCACAAGCCAGTGTTGTGTCCCTTTTTGTATTTTCTGAGGAAAAGAAAAACCAAAATAGTACTTCAAGGAAATGCACAACACAACAAATAATTTAAATTTCAAATTACATGACTGTTTACCTCCTTGCTTTTTGTGTTTATTTCTTCCATCTTCAAATACAACTGTATCCTGCTCTGAAAAGGAAAGCTTTCTTTTCAAGAAAGTGCCTTTTTCTTGGCCAGAGAGAAGGGGTTCAGAAGACACTCTCTTTAAGCCATCTTCCCTGGAAAGGTCTTTTGCTGAATTAAGAGCATGGGCAGATTGTGCACGATTTAGGCTTCCACTGACAGGCTGCAGTATTGCTGATTCTCCTAAACTCTGTAAAAATAAGATAGGCTGAACTGTATATATGGAGTAACATAAGCATAAGACACAAACATGTGAGGAAACATAAGCCAAATTGGCACCTGCAGTTAGCTAATTGAGAGGAATCTGACAAGACAAGTTAGTACTCAAATTTGTTCATCTTTAACAAATCAAAAGCCTCCACCTGCTTCAAAGAAGAAAAGTCTATTATTTTATTTTATTTTGCAGTGACTAACATCAAATCTCAATAAGTATTTTACTGGGATGAAGAGCCTAATGAAAGCACATTACTCCTAAAACACAATTCTTTTCTGTCCAGCATAGGCAATTACTTCAGTATTTAGGCTCAAAAAGAAGTGTGATAAATGAAGGCAGCAGAGCTTATTTGTGCACACTAGCGAAAGAATAAAAGTTATCCCGTAGATTTTGTTACCTGCTCAGGACGAAGTTGTAAATCGCAGCAAGACTCAGTCGTTTCAGAACCGAGTATAAAAGGTTTATTTCGAACATGTGGTGAATTCCAAGCAGATTCCTTCAGACTCTCTCCTAAATTTTCTGGTGACAGCACATCATGCAGTGTCTAGAATATAAACCACCAAGTGTTCATAACAATGACAAGTGATCTAGGTACAGTTTTATTCTTAAACTGTATATGAAAAATAAGAATTTACAGAATCACAGAATCATGGAATGCTTAAGGTTGGAAGGGACCTCAGAGGTCATCTAGTCCAACCCCTCTGCTCACACAGGGTCACCTAGAGCACGTGGCACAGGGCTGCGTCCAAGCGGTTTTTAAAGATTTCCAAAGAAGGAGACTCCACAACCTCTCTGAAATTATCCTCATGAACAGAGTTTTACTAGGAAAGGCCTAAGAACATTTGAGAACAGACAAAAAGCTACTAAACTATATAACTGAGCAGAAGTTCATCTAGAAATCTTTTCCATCAGACTCTGAAGAGTCACCTCTTCAGAGTTGGGCATTATCAATTCAATATAATGAAGATTTTTCAACGTAATTTTTTTATTATTAAATAAAAACAGTTATGTTCCAAGTGTGAAAGACTTCTGTTTACACTAGGATTGCTGTCTGCTTTCCAGATTTCTGTATTTTCTGTTAGTAACTTTAAAAGCACAAGCACTTTAGAACATGTATTTAGAATTTGTGCACCAGTAAAACCCATTCAACACAGTTCAATGCATCTTGACAGGAAGTAAGCTAAATGAGCTCAGAAGCTTCTCTGCATGCACCGAGGAAGATACCAGGTAATCTACCATAAGGGGAGTCTCATAAAAGAATCAAGACAGAGTGATAGCAATCCAGTTTGACCCATCAGATTACCTTCTCTACTTCTAGCTTGGCTGGAAGAAAATCCTCATCAAGGGCTAAGCATTGTAGAAATAGTTGTAAGGCATCACCTACAAAGCCAGAGTCACGCAGCACTTTTCCTTTTCGGAAGTAGACCTGAGAAAAAGGTAACAGAAGGACGTTTGTAGAGTGTACAAAGAATTTTAGTTTTCAACTTACAGACTTTCTACTTGCAGCTTCAAATTATACCAGTACCAGAATTAGAAGCTTCAACTACAAAGAGAATGTACCCGTTCAGCAAGCCTCTGCTGTGYAGAAGCTGCAACATCCACAGGCCTTCTCTGACTTCAGTCCCCCATACTGTCTTAAAAGAGCTCTGGGATGGACTGGCATTAGCCTCCTTCCAGTGAATTTGGAAGGGGAACCTTATTTTGAAATAAGAGTTAAAATACTGCCAAGCATTTAATTGATACAAGGCCAAAATTTTTCCTTTCTACAAGCCTTTGGAAGAGGAACATACCATGTTATCACATTTCCCTGCATGACACCTTACCTAGGATACCCTTTTTGCTCTGTGTCATCAAAAGCCTCACAGTTCTAGTCTGAGGGAAAAGAATAACTATAGACACAATCAACCATACTACCAGGCATCCCTTACATGCATTTTAATGCACATCTTCAATACAAAACAACGTGCTTTTGCAGTTATTTCATCCCTGAATGCTACATACCAGTTAAAAAAACAAAACAAAAAAACCCCACACTTTTCTCTTTTTTTATAGAGGAAAACAGTAAACACCACTGAATGTTGAACCTATACATTATAGGATGTATAGGACAACTAGGAAGTCCCTTATCCAACTCATTTCATTTTTTTAAAAGTTGCATTCACAGTAATAGATAAAGTTAGATAAAAGCAATATAGTTGTAGGCTGCGCAATGGACCAGAAAATTGAATTTAAAATAAATTCAACACAGCTTCTATAGAACAACTCCCCATATCAACAGTGGCCTTTTAAACAAGGCTGTCAGATGAGGACATGCATTCCCTCTGATGCATGAAGGCAGTTTCAATAAGCTGAGCCCTGAAGAAGGAAAACGTGCACATTCTCTGCTTAGAGAGTGCTCATCTTCCTAGAGAGGCAAGAATTCTTAAAGGAATCCATCAAACCGCGCCCTGTCAAGTCATGCAAGGTTTCTTTCCAAACACAGAAGAGTAAACAATACCACCAATACTGATATGCATGAACCTCTTGTAAACTTGCAGAAATCACACAAGTGTTGACTAGAGAAGAACCAAGCAGGAGCAGCAGCAGCAGCTCCCGTTATCTGCCCTTCCTCAGGGGTGTCTGGCCATTGTGCTGCCACGAGCAGTGTCTTACAACCAAGTGACTCCCCAGCTGCCTCAACTATTTGCAAAGCTCAGTGCCCACCGAGTTCTCCAGGCCTTCCAAGAGAAAGAAATCTTCCCAGCCAGAGCAGCAATCCTTATCAAAACACACAAAAGGCTCCCTCCTTCCTCCCCACTCAAAAAAACATAAAACAAAACAAAACCTAACCAAAAAAGCCCCAAAACAATATTAAGAACAAAATACAAAGGCAGATGTTGCAGGTTATGTCAGCAGAAACTACTCCACTCCTAGCACTGAAGCCCAAATATTTTTATTTTTAACCAACACTATTGCAAAAGGACTTAGTATTTGGCACAAATACATTTCATTCTTTGGTAATATTTGAAAAATAAAAAATAATAAAAGAATGTCCTATTTATATAATGCACCCTTTCATCATAAAACCTAGGAAGTGATATATGTGTTGATATAACACAGAGCCAAAATTCTAACCCTGGCTGGTACCAGCTCTCACTCATTTCACATGATGTTCCTAAGATACATGTTACACTGAAAATACTTTGACTTTGGGAAATAATGTCAAACTATAACTCTTTTGAGAAGCACAGAACTCTGAAAGCAGTAACTTACAATGGAGTGTTGAGATGTCTCATACTATCTACACCAACCCATCAACTATAGAGGCCCCAGAAGTTTCACCTTTAAGCAACTGAGAGCAACTGCCTAATTTCAGCCAGCCACACGCTCAGTTGGTAACATTAAGTTGAAGTTTGTAAGTATATGATAAATTTTTCTAGAGAACACACAAAAATTTTCTTCCTACAAAGAAATAAAGAATACCTATCGGGTAACTCTGAGCAGCAGAAATACTTTATCATGTTTTCCAAGGCATCGGTTCTACACCACTTCACCCTTTGTCAGTGGCCAATTTCTCATGTTGTGGTATGAACTAAAAATACTTGATGTTTTTGATAAAAACTAAACAGCTCCAGGTGGATTAGTTTGCCTTCTTGCATTAAATAAACCAAAACACCACAGCTTGCCTGGAACAGGAAGCCCAAGACTAACAGACAAATAACACCTCTGTAACAGATGCACACTGTTCACCAACTTGTTCCACTCTCTAACTTGCTGCACTCACTAACAGTCTGTCTTGGAAAATGAACTGTTTTAATATACTTTTTAGTACTCTGCATGTCTTACTAGATTCATTGTTTTCTTAAATCAAGTGCTCAGAGAATATTTAGAAGTATGTAACTATATAATTTTGAATTTCATAAACACAGATTGTGAAAAAAGAAAATTTCATGTCAACTTACCTCTGGCCAATTTGGCATTTTAGAAATAACAAAGTTTAGATCTTCTATGGCTGCTTTATACTCTCGGAGGCCAGCGTATGACTCAGCTCTGTAAATTCTTAACATCAAGTCACCAGAATCTGAAGAAAGAAATAAGAACCATTTTAACCATTCAGAAGTCTGCATTTTAATTACATATGCTTTTATAACTATAAAAACCATAACCATGATAGATGAAAATAACAGTTCTCTGTGCCACACTCTCAATATAACTGCCATATGGTTTGCTGCTTCTATGCCCTTTAAACATTTGGATGAAAAGAAGTTAAATAATTCTAAACTTATCTCTTTCAAGCTAAAGATCAGCTATCAAACCCTCTAGTGTTTCTGAGAGCAACAAGATAAATATATTTAAGATATATATATACACACATATACATACACACACACACATATATATATATATATATATTTGTGAGGCTGACAGACCAAACTGCAGCTCCATTCTTCCATGAGAGGAATTGACTGAATAGATTCCAGTTTCATAGAGCATCTGGCTTAAAGCCACATAAACCCAAGAACTCATCTCACTTGTAAAACCTGAATTCGAAAAAGGTTCGCTTTCAAACATTGAATTTTATTTAGGCCAGCATTTTATTTTCTAATGCTCAACCCCTTCCAGATGCAGTGTTGTCATTTTCACAGTGATGCCACCCGATGAGGAGCAGAAGTCACTACCACTGTGTTGTCTGACAAGAGGGAAGCAGCCCCTGAAAGCCATGGGCAGCAGCTGGCTGTAGAGCAACTGCACTGGAAATGTAGCWATCTAGATGCCACTAAAATACTGCTTCTTATAATACAACTAATAGCTTTTACTTGGAAAAACCAGCAGACGCTTCCTTTTTTTTTTTTTTTTTTAAGTACATCTGTGCCTTCCACTGAAAGGATCCTAAGAGATTATAAGTTGAACATTGATCTGAMGTAACCAGCTACTCACATTAAATGGTTATGTTCGTTTTGGCAAGACTTTGCACTGAGGATAAACATAATTTCAATATTTTAGCCACTTAGCCTATTCTAAGCATCTAGTTTACCTTTCAAAATTCACACTGTTAACTTGATTTATACTTCAATCTGCTTCAGCAGGAAGCCAGACTGGTCAGTGTCACCACATACTCTAAAGAACTGCTTTGGATTCAGATCCACAATGCTACATGTAAATGATCTCAGTGGAGAAGAAATGGTTAATAAAATTGAAAGTGATAGCRTATTTCATTAGCTGAAGCTACTCAAGAGTTGTTCTGATTATGTTTTGAGTTGACAGCTTTCTTTCAAGTACAAACATTGCCAAACACATTTTTTTCCTCTATGTTAGAAAAAATGTGTAGTAGCAAGAGTTTGGGAAACCATCTGTCTAATTTAAAATAAACATGCAGTTCTGCAGCTGGAAGAGCCTGCTTTCCTGCTGCTCTGTGTTTTGCCACTATTGCTGCCGCGGAAGACAGAAGCTCTGATCACACTCTTCAGACAGTGGTTTTCTCTACGTGACTGTTTGGTGTCCACAGCTAATATAAAGTCATTTCTTCAGAGGTTATGGCAATGTGGGTCTTCATCCTCTAACAAGGTCCTCTAACAGCATCAGGAGAGCTCATCTTCTTCCAGACCTCTGCTACATGCAGGAGAAGACCTGAGTAGCCTTGAGCCTTGTTTGCTGCAGGGAAGGCAAGGGGCAGTTTGAAGCCAACAGCACCACTTCAAATCTAGAGCCGGCACACAGTTTGTCCCTTGGTTTTTCAAGGAATGAAGCACAGATCCAAATGAACTGGTGCAAAGTGAAGGGCCACGTGSAAGAATTTAATTAGGAGCCCAACCCTGCTCCTGCTGCAAACAAACACTGCCAATGAATAATTAGTGCACAGAAACCAGGTCTAAATATTTGCAAGATCAACACCTAAATTTACTTGCCCACTTCTGCAAGCAGAATTTAATTTCTAAGTTTTATACTTTGAAATCACAGCCTCTCAATGTCAGAATACCTCCATCCATGGAGATTTTCATGACTCAACTTGACAAAGCCTTAAAGAAACACAGTGTCTACTCTCCTTTGAGCAGGAGGTTGGACTGCAGACTCTATGTTCACTCCCAAGCCTGTTTCCTCAGAGTATTAGCTGTGTCTTTCAGGATACTTGACTACAGGTAGGCTATATTTGGATTTTAATTCAACAGACTGCCTTTAAAATATTCCTTGTGGGGGTGAAACACAAGAGTTTATCAGTGTAACTTCTCAATATAAAACTTCGCAAAAAACAAAAATCAGAATTATTTTCCTATGGAATATAAAACCTTACAGTATTGCTAAGCACATAAAAAGATAGCAGATTTAACAAATGAAGTGATGTTCTGGTCAGTATTGTATCAGTTCTGTCTCTTATTCATCCCTTTCCACCCTGAACATCACTGAGCTTTGACTCTATTTGCATGTGACCTGTTTGAGTCAATGCTGTAAGGGAAAAATCATCTACTTCGTGCAGTTCTAAGGCTAAAAATAGTTCAGACACTTTCTCAGGTGCCATCTACTCCACGTATTACAAGCACGCCGGCAACTAAAGAAAATAAGTCTGAGATTTGATCCCACCTCACGTTTGGTTTATTCGGGAACCAAACGTGACATAGCCCCCATTCCCAAGAAGGGATGGGAAAGATGAGGCTTAGGCCGGGTTTGTTTTCCACGGAGTTGAAGGGAAGTCAAAGGCAGCGCGTTTTGSTTTACCAGAGCGCTGGCTCCTAGTGTCCGGGTGGCGGCCCCGCGCGGCGCGGAGCACCGCGGTCCCCTCCGCAGGCGGCAGCGCCCGCCCCCCCACGCGGGACGCGCCCCGCGGGGACCCCCCGGCGGCGGCGCCGTTACAAAACCGGCCACTCCCCGCGTGATGTCACCACGTTACACAACCTGTCCCCGCCGCGCCGGCCGC